GCCAATTCTCCCTGTATCTTAAAACCCTTTTTGAACTACAAATCCCAGAAGAGCTGAATCACAAAAAATGATGAAGAAGTCTATATATTATACTGTATATGGTGGGGTTACGTGCTTGGCCCCGGGACATCAGAAAAGCGTTTGGATACTGCTGTTCTGCACGTACACTCAGCGGCTCAGCCTTTACTAGAGGCAGACCACACACACTTCTGTGCAGCTTCACAAGTGTTCACTGACTCTCCCAACTGTCCAGAGACTCTCACAGTTCTCCTATTCATCATTTGTCACAGTTGTCAGCGCACCAGAATCTTCACAGTGTGTTGCTATGGCTATGTGGTGATTTTTATAGCTTAGAGATGTGAAATGTTAAATTTTATTTTGGAAGCTAGGCCTCCCCTATTGATATGCAAATGAACCAGTTGGACTGGTTTATGAGCTCATCAGAGGAAGTGAGGCTATGGGATATGATGTATCAGGAAGTAAGAGCCTTTAATAGACACCAAGCAAAATAGACGGACACTGCTTATCCTGCTGAGGGCTATAAGACTCGTTTATCTCTTCCTGCAGCTCTGAAACCTTTGCTTACTCTGTTGAATAAGGACACTGCTAGCAAACATCAGAATACACTTATGTACATATATACCCAAGCAAACTAAGGAAACCACGCTTATCCAATTCCTCTAAGTGGTCTCCACACTATGGCCTGGGGGCCAGATATGGCCCTTTGCTTGCCTTTATATGGCTCTTGGGGCACAATTCCTCCCACTGACACAAACACTGGGGCATAATTCCTGTCACTGATATCAACAATTGGGCACTATTCCTATTGCTGACCCCCATCAATGGGGCACTGTTCTTCCCACTGACACCAATGATGGGACACTATTCCTTCCCCTGACGCCAACAACGGGGCAATATTCCTGCCATTAATACCAATGATGGAGCTTTGTTTACTCCCATTGACGCTAGGGCATTTTCTACTCACACTGGCCACAGTCTGGCCCCCGCAAAGTCTAAAGGACAGTAAACTGGCCCTTTGTTTAGAAAGTTTGAAGACCCCTGCTCTAATCTGTTTGCAGACCTGACTCTGGCATTCACCATTAGTCGTCAATATTTCAGGGCCCCAGATTTCTAGCAGAAGACCTCATCAATAATTTCAGGATTTACTTTACTTTATAACCACAAATATCCATCGCTCATTTAATGGGGCACTTACCTTTTCTATCTAAAGTATTTAAAGGTCATTCACCTGGATCCTGTGCCTTGCCTCAGTGGCTGCTAGAGAGTTGGCTTCTTAGGCCTTCTTCCCCACAGCCACTGTTGCTCCCTCTATAGGAACCACTGACACCCTGTGGGTAGTTACAGTTTGCTGACATTATCTAATCATTGCTATCTGTTTTGTTACCGTTGTTTACTCTTCCCGATAGTGTATATTGTTGCAAACCCACTGTAACCTCCTAAAGCTGGCGATACTTTATATAGTTTTCTTGTTCAATTTCTTTTAGATTTACCTTCAACTATGTAATGCAAGGCTCTGCCTGTTTGCGTACAAATTGAAAGTGTTTAGGTTGGACCTTATGTTATATGATTTTGGTAAATCTAAAACGAAAAATGTATAATGTATGGCCAGCCTAAGTATTAACATGCACTATTATTGATTTATTCAGTACAACAGTGGTAATTTAAATTTTTGTCTATTGCCCCTTTACTCTGTTATGGGTATTATTGGTGATGAGTTTATTGAACATTGGTTATCTAAAACATGGCTGAACTTAGAGTGTCGGAAGGGAGGAGGAACTTGCAAGGTCAGGACATCATCAGAGGACAAGCATCTATTTGCGGCTCCTATGGGGGTAGCTCTACAGTAAACATTCTCTTAAATCTGTAGGCAACTTAAAGTGTCTATTTTCAATCTCTAGTTGATCAGCTGGATCTCTGGAAACAGACTGCAGAAGTGTTTCTGCCTACTGATTATATACCATTAGTTCACAATAGTTCATATTTGGCAACTTTCTGTAAACATTTGCAAAGGAAATAATTTTTAAAGGTCAGTTCAACTAAAAGTAGTATGTCTTTTCTGGTAGATACTGAATCATTGACTGGAGCTGGTTCACACCGATGTGCTGCAGTTTGGCCACAGCGTGGGTGCAGCACGATTGTATCCGCATTTTACATGCTGTTCTCTTTGACTTCTATTAAACTGTGCATTTTCTGAAAGCGCATCAAACCTGCAGTATGCAGGACTTTAATGCGCTTTTATGAAAATACAACTTCTAATAGAAGTCAGTGGGATCACACCTAAAACCACATGTAAAACATGAATAAATCGCACTGAACCTAACCCGCTCTTAATCTCTTTTACACTTCACTGACAAAATTTTTAGCTCAGATTTATGTTTTATTGGGCTTGGTGTAGATCAGTGTTTTTCAACCTTCTTTCAGTCAAGGCACCCTTTAAAATTCTGCACAATCTTGAGGCACCCCGTTGTAAAATGTAAAAAATTAAACTGGTGCTAGAATTATTGCTCTCATCTCGGCGTGCTTGGCGATATGTAACGTGTATCGCAATCAACATTTTCACGAATAGGTGCCTTGACATTACATTCGTACATGCATATATGTGGGGGTGAAGGGGGCCTCAATAATGTTTTGGGGATATGTTATATGCTTGGGTGTAACTATTTTTTTACAGAAAAAAAAAAATGTTTTCACTTAACTTTTTTTTCATCACATAGGGGACACAAAGTCCCCTATGTGATGATTTTTTGGTGACAGTTTCTCTTTATTGATGCATTCAGGGTCTAAAAGACCCTGCATGCCTCCTCTGTGATCCATTAGATGTTTTGCAATGCAAACCACATTGCAATACATCTTTCCCTGGCTTTTTCTAGCCGGAAAAGTGACAGTCATGACTCGGATGTCACCTTCCAGGTCACACAAAGAAGGGGAGAGGAGTGGACGGCACTCCTCTCTCCCCTGCAACCGCTGGCACCCGCCACGGCTCTCACGGGCCTACAGATGGGCAAGCGGAGCCTGGTTACATGGTGGGAGTGCACCCGTGGGGGAGGGCACCGGAACCGGGGGCTGTAGAAGCTATCGGTGTCAGCAGAGCCACCTGACTGCTTCCACCTGAGAGGCAGGAGTCTGTCTGTCAGTTTTATACACAATCCCGGTGGCTGCAGCCGCTGGATTGTGTGTAAAACTCCCTACTGTCAGGTCCGTACAGCGTAAGGACCTGGCAGCAAAAGGGTTAAAGCCTGGTAAAACACGCTGAGAATAGCAGACAAATGACTGTCCATTTTTGTTTTTGCATGCAAATTCGGACTGATTGGCGTTTTTTTTTTTTTTTTTGCATGTTAGTCTCATATCGAAAATAAAGAGGTTACTAAAGTTAGGAAAATTTCTGTAAAACAGAATACAACTTCGGAAGCGATGTAATGTATTCTTCTGTTTCCAAGCATGCGTGGTCTTGGTCACTCAATTTTTTACAAATGAATACTGTACTGATTAAATGAAAATTGTTTGTTCTTATATCGTACAAGAAACATTTTCTTGCTTGTTCCTTCAGATAATTTTGCATGAACTGTCGTGATCGGCTCTCGAATGCTGTGTACTAATGATCAGATTATCGGATGATCGCTTCAAAAGCTGTATTTTTCGCCCAATTTTTTCATCATGTGTACTAGGCATGAGACTCCCTAGGTAGAAGGGGTGAGAGTCCACCGCAAGGTTAAGCAGAGCTGGAAACTCCATTGCGGAAACGATGCCTTTGTATTAACATAAGACGTCAGTAGCTGATTCGGCCTAACAATTTCCATTCTTGGCTGAACCTGACCCTGTGAATGAAATCTATACCAGAGTTAATTTTAGAAACGTTATAATAGAGTCCATTTTCTTCTCAGTTAGCTGCACTAATTATCTAACTTAATACATCACCTAGGTTAGCTTGAGTTGGCAGGAAACATTGGTATTCAGTGTTTGCTATCAACAATAAGGAATTGCTATCAAGTAAATATGTTAACAATAGGGAACATTACCCGAAAACTGCATTACCAACAAGGAAGTTACAGACAAAGCAAATTATCAGTTTTACTTGGAAGAACATTTCCCAGTGGCTTTCTTTCAGTATTGAAGAGATCTGAAAACAATACGTACATTAACACATTCCAGAGTTATCAAGCAGTGCTTTAATTGAATGATTAACATTCCAGCCAAATACAGTACCTTTAACGCTTCACTGATTTTAAAGGGAAACATTTCTTCAATAGGTATGTGAATGTGATCAGATCAATGTAAATATTGTTGTCATTGCTTTTTCTGTTTATAGTTTTTAAACTTGTATGAATGTGGGAGCAGCCATTTTTGTGTGTTACATGTGCCTCCTGCTTAGATATGTTGCTCAGCAACTGTGCCTGCAAGTAGTGATTCAACTGATTAACCACTTCAAGTCCAGATACTTTCACCCCCTTCCTGTCCAGGCCAATTTTCAGCTTTTAGTGCTATCACACTTTGAATGACAATTGCGCGGTTATGCAACACTGTACCCATATGATTTTTTTAGCATTTTTTTGAAACAGATAAAAATTTATTTTGGTGGTATTTATTCATCACTGGGATTTTTATTTTTTTTGTAATATAAATAAAAAAGTCCAAACATTTTGCAAATAAATAATCTTTTTTCAAAAATCTTGGCCAAAATTTATTCAGCTATCTTTTTAGTAAAAAAAAATTACCCAAATTAGTTTATAACCAAAAATGATAATTTAAAAAAAAATGTTTTACATTTTTATTTTATTTTTTTTAATTATTATTATTATTATTATTATTTTTAACATACTGTCACCCTAGCAGTACAGTGTCACCATAGTGACTGTACAACTTGTGGGGGGTGATGAAGATTTTTTTTTTTTTTACACTGATTGCGTTTACACCCATAAAGGCTGTAAAAGCAATAATTTCTCCTTCTCTCTGGCTGCATTCTTGCAGCCATTGAGAAATACTGTGAGAACTGTGATTGGTCAGAGCTTGTCACATGGTACAAGGCTGTTGTGCCATGTGACCTCTGTGATCATTCACAGATTTCACTAGTAGTAAGCAATGATGTCAGCAAGTGACATCTTGCTTACTACTATTCATGTGATCACTGATTGGCCAATCAGAGATCACATGATCGGGACCTCGCACAGCGATTGGTGTTCACTGGATCGCGGTGCTGCGCGCACCCTGGGAGAGTGCACAGACAGTGAATGCGGAGGCCGTTTATAAATGACCATCCGCTCCTGCACTGCTCCCGTCTGGCCGTTTATGTACATGGGCCAGATGGGAAGTGGTTAAAGTATAGTTTGCAGCAATCAGACCTTGTAGCAGTACAGCAGTCATGATCACTGGAAGCAATCATAAGACACTCTACCTCCAAAAAATACCAGCCTGTACTAAATTTCTGACACTTCCTGTCAACTGCATATTACTATGGGCCAGAGAGGATGTCAGTCGAGGAGATTGGTCAATGGCCATGTGGTTGGAGACCAAGAATACCAAGACCAGGCTTTACCTGTCAGCATGGCCTTGACCAACCATATCTGCTTGATGTTTAAAGCTGCAGGTACGTGCAAGCACCTCTAGATGCATCTGTAAAACCATAAACCAGTAAGCAAATAAAGATATGAAAATCTCATCAAAAGGACTTTTAACTGTTAATTGTACATTACTAAGTAAAAACAAATATTTAATGAAAACACAAAATGGCTTCCATTTAAAGTGTACTTTTTCGATAGTTTTCATAAACTCCACATTGATAGCATCCTTGATTACATCTTGAAAGACATAATACATTTCAGTCAGAGATGGCATCTCAATAGATTTGTTAAATTACCTGTTCTAAATGAAGACACAATCATAAACACTCATATTGCTTGACTATGCACCCCTAGAAATAGTTTACTAGATATCTGAAGCCAATTTGTTTTTTCATTTAGCAGTGTACATGGAGGGTTTACACCCCTGTGATGTTTCTTTTCTATCTATGTTTCATTCAAAGGATTTTCTTTCACTTCCTATTCTATAGACACAACAGGGAGTGAGTTGGACTCTCTACAAAGTGAGAAAAATCCCCTCTTACACATTTGTCACAAAGGCCCCCATTGGAAGATGTCCCCCTGTTCCTGTTTTGATGAAAACTCCAATTTTTGGTTTTCCCTTTCAGTCATGGAGACAATGGTCACCAGGACAAAAATCTCCCAGGTGGTGACACAGATGGCACTAAAAGCCTGAGAGGGGTTCTAACTTCTCACCACTCTATCCAAAACCAACAAAAATTTTTTGGCTTTATCTAAATCTTAAACTAAGAGAATTTTAGGCCACAACATAACTCCTCTAGTAGGTATGAAATACTCTACTCCTGATCATCTCTCTGCCTTTCTGATTATGGTCAACAGGCATTTACATTTTTACTAGTGTTCCTATACTAAGCTTAGGAGATTAGACACAGTGTTTTATACCTACTGAAGTATGTCACATTGGAAGGTCTGAAATTAGATTATAGGTCAGAAAGATCCAGATTTGCTGGATATATATTTATAAGAAAAAGCACCCTGGAATGCACTGTACCCAGGTGTTGCATCCCAACTATCATCTGATCTATTATATCTGGGAGCATCTCAGCAGCCACTGTTCAACAGGTAAAAAGTTTTTGGGCATAAAATTAGCTAATCTTACATAATTTTGGGGTGCTGAAAACGAAAATGACCCTAAAAAATGTTGATTGGCTCTAGTCTCCATGATATATTCACCCATCTAATGACGTAAGCCATTCAAAATTATGATGCAACTTCAGCTGCATATTGCGCAATTGATACTGGTGACCAATAGAAAATTGCATGTATACTGAGATGATGCAATATTAGCCTTTAATTGCATCACTTCACTGCATAAAAGCTGCAGTATCTGTAGCTGATTGTAGTTCGACAGCGTCTTTACATTTTGTTTTATGCTTATATAGGCTACTCAGTAATGCCTCGAACTTGTGTGAATAAAGCAGATAATTTCTGCTATATCTGCGGTGAAATAACTTTTATCTCACAAAAAAGGAGGATAACAGGAATGATTAAGAAAGCCTACAACTTGTATTTTGGCTGCAAGATAGGAGACCAGGACAAGAGCTGGGCACCACATATATGCTGCAATTCTTGTGGGACGGCACTGGAGCAATGGTTGAATGGAAAAAAGGCATCTATTCCTTTCGCTGTGCCAATGATTTGGAGAGAGCCAACAGATCATGTTAGTAATTGTTACTTTTGTATGGTGCCTCCAATTGTAAAAGGGCTAAATAAGAAGAAAAAGTTATCTGTGCACTATCCAAATATTCCATCGGCAATACGTCCAGTTCCTCATGGAGAGGGGCTACCAATTCCTAAAGCACCAGAATCCTTCGTGGTTGAGTCAAGTGAGGAAGAACCTGAAGCGTGTAGTCACGTGCAGTTGTAAGAGATAGCCCTTTCCTCGAATACAAGAGAAAAGCCAAGAGAAGCAAAACCGACACAAACTGAAGACAAAACTAGTGAGAATCCTAAGTATTAAAATGATTCAACTTAGCTTATGGCTATAATTTTTCTTGGTAATCCTATGCAATATATTATGCCATTTAGGCTTTGTTATGTAGTCAATATCACTTGCTTTATATTTGTGGAAAGACATCTATCTATATAATTATTGTGCATTATGTAGTCATTACGCCTATAGTAGAAAACTTTCCGTTTACAGAAAAACTAGAGCCAATTGACAAATTTCATTGTTATATTTGAACTCAGAATGTGAAATTCATTAAGAAATGGATCCTTTTGTTTCCAAAACTGGCAAAAAATAAAAATTTGTTGAACAGTTTATCATTTTCAAGCTTTAAAGCAAAACAAAGCCCTCCTATGCTTTACAGTCAAGAACGCTTCAATGTTAGCCTCTGTTTAATCTGCAGTTGTCTGTTTGATCTGCATGGTGCTGCACTGATGATCAGTTATGACACCAGCCATTTAATAGCTTGACAGGTCAGTTGAGAGTACAAGCAATTGTGACAGTTATCATTCACAGCATGCTTCTGAGAAACAGTTAAATCAATGGGTTTAGTTCTGCTGCTTTTTTTTCCCTTTTTTTTTGTGAATCTGATGAAAATCTGCAAAAGGAATATTTAGAATGAACAAGTTCATTCTTGAGAAAACGTTTGGTGTTTTCATGAAAAAAGTTTTGGCTGTGGTTGGTTGAAATAAAAAAGGTGGTTGAATTCTTTGAATTTAAAAAAAAACTGGGCAATAGGGCTGCTCAAGAGAGCCAAAGAAAAAAAAGGGCGCTGCAGCATGAATGTGTGTCAGACCCTGCGGGTACTGATCTCCCTTAGCATAGGACAGACAAATCTTATTGAACATTCTTGGAATTCACAAACCTTTGTAAAAAAATCAGATTAGCTAACTTTTTCAGGTTTGCTCAGTCTGGGCATAGAGACACTTGTCTCTCACAGGCAGCACAAGGCTGGCCATTAACAAACACCTGTGTGTAGTGACATTATTCTGTAAAATTGTATTTTTATTTGTTTTATTTATTGATTACAAATACTTTTCTAGCATCATCAAATTACGCAGCGCTTTACATATACTGTATATATTGGTTTGCTATTCTATTCCAAAATGACTGTGTTATTTCTGTACTTTGCAAAAACACAGAATCAAAAGATGCAAAGAATATACTATTCTAGCAATTCCAAGTAGATAACATATAGTGGATAGTGTAGATTATCTGTCCTGGTCTAAACCTCTTTCCATGTCTACCCAAGTGAGACAATCCAGTATTACTGGGCGTGGATTGAGATCAAAGTGTGCAGAACATAGCTCATTTTATTTAATCACAGAGAATAAAGAACTGACTTTCTCTTTCTTCTTTTATTCTTTTTAAGCTTTGGTTAGGTAACTGAATGGTCACACTAGCATTACATAAGCAAATGCTCTTAGAAAATCTGAAAAAAAATTTAATTGATGTAAATATTTTATTTCTTTTTAATCAGCTGTTAAAGTGAAATAAAAGCATCTGTAAGTGTAGCACTATGGTTAATATTCAACAGTGCAGAACAGAGATCAAAGCTAAAGGGCAGAGCGTAGCAATGGAATAGAAACAGGCACACTGCATTTGCTGTGGTGTCTTCACAGAAATGGGGTACTGTGTGATGCACCTTGCTCTTTGTTTTACTGAATTACCATACAGCACATTCATTTAATGAGAGGATCTGAAGTTTGGAATCAAATGATCTGACAAATCCAAACAAAATTCCTGACACCTGAAATGGGCACACTGTGTTCAGTAAATGTTAGGCTACCTACTGTTAGAGGTTAATGGGGAAATCTCCATTATGTTTTTGAATACAGTGGGGCTGATTTACTAAAGGAGAATAGGATGTTCACTTTGCAAAGGAATTTGCACTTTGCAAAGGCAATTTTCCCCAGAGCTTAACAAAGTGTTAAAAGTTTAATTTTGCAAAGAATAACCAATAATGTGCAAGGAACATAAAGAAAACAGTGTTTGCTTGCACGTGATTTGATGATGGAAGTCAGCAGAGCTTCACCTCATTCACTAAGCTCTGTTGTAAATTTCCTTGCAAAGTGAACAGAAGTTATGCTTTTAGTAAATCAACCCCAGTATCTACATAGAGATGTATAGAAGATTGGATGGCTAAAATTTCAACTCACCTTATTGCTGGTCCTTTTGATCACCATTCATGCCTTCCAGTGTTTCTGAGTTGCTACAGTACTTGCTTCAAGTTTTTCTTCTGGCTTGCAGAAAGCTGCTTTTGAGTTGCTTAACCTCCCTGGCGGTATGATTATTTCCGATTTTTGGTGCTGAAAGCGGTACCATTTTTTTGCATGGAAATATGTAGTTTTTTATTGTAGGCTGTAATTTTTAGGAATAACTCACTGAAATCTGTCCGAACAAGAGTCTAGTAAACATTCCGGATATGATAAAACTTGAAATATGAAATCATAAATTATAATTTAATTAATAATCATAAAAAATAATAATATAATATTAATAAATTTATTTCAATAATATAATCAAACCAAAAACACTGAAATTTGAAATACAGAGGCAAATTCGCACATCGCTGAGCAAAGTCGCAAAATCGTTTTCAGTGTCTGATGACAAATTTCCCCACGAATCATTATCACTCAATTCTGCAAGTGGTTCTAATTTACTATCGCTGTTCTCTAGCTGGTCTAAAACCGCTTTTGACATAAAGGGACGCTTTTTGGACGCCATGGACTTTTCTAAGTTTCCAGGCAGAAAGAACAGTCAAAATGTAG